GGTGCCCAAGGGTGTGCTGGGACCCTGGGTGGTGATGTCTGAGAAACCAGCCGAGTTGGCAATATTATACATCTCTATTGATTATATTACACTCGTTTGACTTTAAAGAGAATAACAGGACATTTTGGTTGATTGCATGTACTATAAAGGTGAAACAGTCTGTCAAAGTCATGTTGAGATTGTCACTACTTCAGTCAACACACCGTCTTTCGTAGAGGAGCCCGCCATTTGCAGGAACATCTTTTGCCGCCTTTAGTTCCAGCCCATTTCTATCACTGGATGCTGGTGCAGGGAGAGCATGCACAAGCGAGAGGAGCTGGTGCTTCATATGTTCCGCATGAAGGCCATGGGTTTCGAGGACCGCAGATTGACTGGGCCAAGAGTCAAAAGAACTATATAGAAACATGCAAGAGTATGCAAGAGTAGTATTTAAGCACTTAAGTGATGTCAGTGATGTCAGTGATGTCAGTTCAGTAAGATTATCTTTTCCATCCTTTTCCTATGGTTCTTTCATGTTCGATCCCATGCCTAGCTGGGACGTCCATAGGATTCCACCGCCAGGCTCTGGAAGAGCACCTCAACACACAGAAACCCAGGCGCCAGTGGCACCGGCAGCACCGGAATGTGGCTAGGGATCAGAACACACCGGAACCGATAGATACCATATAAATCCATATGAATCCATATGAATCCAGATGAAGATCCACAAATCCCAGCTATATCTTCATTGTTAATCTGTACATTCATGTTCACCAGGGGTACAGAGTCTTGACCCATCCCCAAATGTGTAGAACAGATGGAACTGATGTAAAGAAACAGCTCAAAGAGTCAGCAGCCCTGGCCGTGACACGGTGAGTCTATGTGAGTTTTGGAGATGGGGGTGATGGTTTCTTGCACATCTTGCACATTCTATCAGGTGGCGATGTGTTCTGGGCTCTGTGTGTTTTTCTGCTCTGGCCTGGGACCACAGAAGAGATGAACACCGAACTTATGTTTGCAACACATTTGCTTCACAGGAAGGCATAGAATCAATGTAGCTGGAAAGGCTCTGTTACAGAACTATACAATGATGTACGGTATTCTGGCATTATACTGTATACTGCAACACACTGCAGCTGCAAAACGCTGTCACTTATCACGCACTCACTTGTCCTGCAGGCATCACTGGAAGCTGCATGAAGCTGCAATCCACAACGCACTGGGTTTGTCACTGAGGTGTTTCCGTGCAGCTGCTGCGCTCGTCGTTTCAAGCGGCTTCGGTGGAAGGTACAGATCTCTGGGTCACCCTAGCCCAGAAGGAAGGGAGTACGGAGTACGGATGCCAAAAGAATGGAGGGTCAGAACTTAGAACTCTGCCAGCCGCACATCCTCGGCTCACCGAGACACCCCTGATACTTTTAGCGTCTTAAAGCTGATGGGAAATTCAACCAAACCCGTAGTGGCACATTGATTCCAGATTCCGATTCCGGCAGCCAATCCCAGCCACTTGGCGTTACTCGACCACTCGGTGCAGGGTGCATTGTGCAGAAGTAGCTGGGAAGAAGAAGCCTCCGAAGAGTTCCGGAGACAGCGCATTGTAGGCAGGGTGACGGTTGGTGATGGCTGAACGAGGCTATTTAAGTGGAATGTTGGTGAAACCAAGATCACATCAAAAGGTTCTGGCTGCAGTATCAGTCAGTAATTAGGCAACATTTCATCCGTGCAAAAGTCAAGTATGTTCTTGTGACTGTTTGCGGAGCACGAAAGGAGGCAGCACTTTGATTGTAGCATGGCGATTCAACAGAGTTTTCCATCCAGAATTTAAATCTCCAGCATCCAGCAACAGGACTCTGGGCTTTTCTGGATACTTCAGGGTGGTCTGCCGAGCACTTAAAGTGCAGCACCGTGAGAATGTGGGCACCCAGCATCCCCAAACATTCAAGTTGCTTTGCTGTATAGCTTGGAACAGAGCTACGTACATTTGAAGCTTCAGCAGACATCTTCCTCCATCATGGCCCATCAACAGGGATTGTCCGGGAGTTGCTTGGGAAAGCACTGGCCCCAATCAGAAAATCAGAGGATCCCAGCGACTCTCCTCCCTTGGTATCCTTGGTGACTCCCAGGTGGCAGCCATGCAATTCCGAAAGCAGGCGGAAGGAGCTGGCGGCTTCTCGCTGCCGCACTTTGAGGACTGGATGATACGAACGATGTTTTAGCATGTTTTAGCATGTTTTAGCATGTTTTAGCGTCATGGCTTTAGTGGTATTCGACTGGTTAATCATATTTGCCAGTAAATGGATGTTGATAGCCATTTTGAGGAGATGCCTCATTGTAAGATACCCATGAACCATGTGGGACACTGCAGAGTCTAGAAAGTTGAGGGATAAACCATGGATAAACCAAGTGGCCGGCTGGGGATGGCTGGGGTAGTTGAAATGGTATGATTTGGGAAAGACGCCTCAGCCGAGAGTGAAGAGTGAGGCCATGGGATGTGAGACAGTCTGTGCATGATCCTGTTGAGGCTCCAACCGGACTGTACCCCTCTAGATCTTCAGAATTTAGATGAATTTAGTAGAGATGCCTTGTTTAGTCCACTGAGCATTGCTACATATTGCTACTATCCGATCCACCACAACTGTCGAGGCAAGGAGGAAAGGATAATCATGCAACTGGCTAGAACTAAAGCAGTGCAGGCCACTGATTCCGTCAGAAGATATAAAACTGATTGTGACTTCTATCTTGTTGGAAGGTGAGTGAAGATCATTAAGGTATCCCTCGGTATCACTGCATACAGCCCGGTACCAGGTTAGCTGAATGGTCAATGGTTGCTTCATGTTGCTTCATCCTGTCCACGCCATGGCGTTGCTGCAGTGGTTCCGCGGTACTCTGCGACAAAGCCTGCGCTGGCTCCTGTTGCGCCTTTGCGAGACTTGCCGGCGATCCACGTGTGGTTCGTGCGTTTGGGGCAACCCTGGGCGATCCGACATGATCCAACATGATCCAAGCAGTTTTCAGGTGGTGAACCTGTGCCTCAGGCAACCTCAAATATCCGGGGTCGTTGATGATATAGTTGAATATGGTGAATGCCTTGACCAGATTTGATAAAAATCACTGTAACATCAATGGAATATAGTGGAATCAATGGTCAAAGTAGAGATGACTCAGATGACTTTCCCACTGGTTGGCAGTTGCGAGTGGTTTCAAATGAGGCAGCCTTTGCTTCAGTGGCCACCGCCTTGCCTGCCGAGTCGTCGGAGGAAGCAGTGGAGACCAGGTGAGGTTAGATCTGTCCAAAAATGTCCAAAAGGATTGAAGATAGTATGCATAATTACAATGTGTATGTATGTATATGTATACAATATTCCATTATATACCGTTACCAAGAAAATTGCCAAACATGCCGGATGGGAAAGCACCATGTTAGTGAAGGACGGAGAAGCTTCAAAATGGCACCCCAAAACTCCCTAACGTAATGCCTGCAAGCCAACGAAAATGATGTGATATTTAGCTACTTTTTCCTCCTGCTGCTGCTCCTGCCGGATGGGAAAGCACCATGGCAGTGAAGGACGGAGGAGCATCAAAATTGCACCCCAAAACTGCCTAACGTAACTTCTGAAACCCATAGAAAATGATTATTTTAGCTACTTTTTCGTCCTGCTGCTGCTGCTGCTCCTTCTGTTCAAAAGACAGCTGCCGGATGGGAAAACACCATGGCAGTGAAGGACGGAGACGCATCAAAATTGCACCCCAAAACTGCCTAACGTAACTTCTGAAACCCATAGAAAATGATGATTTTAGCTACTTTTTCGTCCTCGTGCTGCTGCTGCTGCTGCTCCTTCTGTTCAAAAGACAGCTGCCGGATGGGAAAACACCATGGCAGTGAAGGACGGAGACGCATCAAAATTGCACCCCAAAACTGCCTAACGTAACTTCTGAAACCCATAGAAAATGATGATTTTAGCTACTTTTTCGTCCTGCTGCTGCTGCTGCTCCTTCTGTTCAAAAGACAGCTGCCGGATGGGAAAACACCATGGCAGTGAAGGACGGAGACGCATGAAAATTGCACCCCAAAACTGCCTAACGTAACTTCTGAAACCCATAGAAAATGATGATTTTAGCTACTTTTTCGTCCTCCTGCTGCTGCTGCTGCTGCTGCTGCTGCTTTTCTGTTCAAAAGACAGCTGCCGGATGGGAAAACACCATGGCAGTCAAGGACGGAGAAGCATCAAAATTGCACCCCAAAACTGCCTAACGTAACTTCTGAAACCCATAGAAAATGATGATTTTAGCTACTTTTTCGTCCTGCTGCTGCTGCTGCTGCCGCTGCTGTTCCTTCTGTTCAAAAGACAGCTGCCGGATGGGAAAACACCATGGCAGTGAAGGACGGAGAAGCATGAAAATTGCACCCCAAAACTGCCTAACGTAACTTCTGAAACCCATATTAAAATGATGATTTTAGCTACTTTTTCGTCCTGCTGCTGCTGCTGCCGCTGCTGTTCCTTCTGTTCAAAAGACAGCTGCCGGATGGGAAAACACCATGGCAGTGAAGGACGGAGAAGCATGAAAATTGCACCCCAAAACTGCCTAACGTAACTTCTGAAACCCATATTAAAATGATGATTTTAGCTACTTTTTCGTCCTGCTGCTGCTGCTGCTGCCGGATGGGAAAAAGCTACTTTTTCGTCCTGTTGCTGCTGCTGCTGCTGTTCCTTCTGTTCAAAAGACAGCTGCCGGATGGGAAAACACCATGGCAGTGAAGGACGGAGAAGCATGAAAATTGCACCCCAAAACTGCCGAACGTAACTTCTGAAACCCATATTCAAATGATGGTTTTAGCTACTTTTTCGTCCTGCTGCTGCTGCTGCTGTTCCTTCTGTTCAAAAGACAGCTGCCGGATGGGAAAACACCATGGCAGTGAAGGACGGAGAAGCATGAAAATTGCACCCCAAAACTGCCGAACGTAACTTCCGAAACCCATATTAAAATGATGGTTTTAGCTACTTTTCCGTCCTGCTGCTGCTGCTGCTGCTGCTCCTTCTGTTCAAAAGACAGCTGCCGGATGGGAAAACACCATGGCAGTGAAGGACGGAGAAGCATCAAAATTGCACCCCAAAACTGCCTAACGTAACTTCTGAAACCCATAGAAAATGATGATTTTAGCTACTTTTTCGTCTTGCTGCTGCTGCTGCTGCTGCTCCTTCTGTTCAAAAGACAGCTGCCGGATGGGAAAACACCATGGCAGTGAAGGACGGAGAAGCATCAAAATTGCACCCCAAAACTGCCTAACGTAACTTCTGAAACCCATAGAAAATGATTATTTTAGCTACTTTTTCGTCCTGCTGCTGCTGCTGCTGTTCCTTCTGTTCAAAAGACAGCTGCCGGATGGGAAAACACCATGGCAGTGAAGGACGGAGAAGCATCAAAATTGCACCCCAAAACTGCCTAACGTAACTTCTGAAACCCATAGAAAATGATGATTTTAGCTACTTTTTCGTCCTGCTGCTGCTGCTGCTGCTGCTGCTGTTCCTTCTGTTCAAAAGACAGCTGCCGGATGGGAAAACACCATGGCAGTGAAGGACGGAGAAGCATGAAAATTGCATCCCAAAACTGCCTAACGTAACTTCTGAAACCCATATTAAAATGATGATTTTAGCTACTTTTTCGTCCTGCTGCTGCTGCTGCTGCCGCTGCTGTTCCTTCTGTTCAAAAGACAGCTGCCGGATGGGAAAACACCATGGCAGTGAAGGACGGAGAAGCATCAAAATTGCACCCCAAAACTGCCTAACGTAACTTCTGAAACCCATAGAAAATGATGATTTTAGCTACTTTTTCGTCCTGCTGCTGCTGCTGCTCCTTCTGTTCAAAAGACAGCTGCCGGATGGGAAAACACCATGGCAGTGAAGGACGGAGAAGCACAAAAATTGCACCCCAAAACTGCCTAACGTAACTTCTGAAACCCATATTACAATGATGATTTTAGCTACTTTTTCGTCCTGCTGCTGCTGCTCCTTCTGTTCAAAAGACAGCTGCCGGATGGGAAAACACCATGGCAGTGAAGGACGGAGAAGCATGAAAATTGCATCCCAAAACTGCCTTACGTAACTTCTGAAACTTTTTTTTTCTCTACAAGATTAGCCTCTACGTCGGTACAAACGCGCGCCTGAGGTTCCACACGGAAATTTCAACTTCCGGCTAACAGCTTTGGTGCACCCAGCAGCTAATCGCCCACCACAATGGGAGCACTTAAGGGTTGATTGTGTACCATACATGGTATGAGTAAAATGAACTTTGTGAAGCAAAGGGTGACCACACCCCACTTGAGCACCAGCACCCGAACAGGGCAAGGCAGCCATGACTTCCAAGTTAGGCAAAGTCCGATAGGTTTTAAGGATACTACAGCAAGCGTTGCAACGCAGACCCTCAGGGCACCGTCTCCAAACATGACCACCAAAACCTTTAGCTTCAGCTTGATTAAACAACTCATGCTTTGTACGTGGGGGGCCATCAGGAACCCTTTTAGGCACAACCGCTTCAACAGCAAGCCAATACTTAATGCGAGGGATCATCCGCATGGTCAACTTTTTAACCCTGGCAAGAATCCAATTATTTAGACCTTCCACCTCAAAGGGCGCAACAGCAGCAGCATTAATGCTAGCTAGTTCGTCAGCACATTGATTGGCATGCCATGACCAGCTTTCTCTACCAAGAGAAACATGCTCTTCATGCGTGATATGGGACTTAACTTTAGTGCGGCTCACCTGCTTGTCCAGCAGCGTGACAAGTTGGCCCCGTAGGTCCCCATGTGGGTTACGGATCTTCTTTGGACAACGACGCAACTTGTTGTACACATTGATGACAAAAGAAGCATCCACAGCAACCCTCGGTTCACAACCTTCTGGGATTGATCTCAGCAGCTCCACAAAGGCACGCAACTCAGCGCGAGCCACAGTATTGGGATTGGGGCCATCACAGACAAACCCAGCGATGCTGCCAACCAAAACGTAATTGCCATCAACAAGCGCAACAGCAACAACAGCCCAAGCACACTTCCGGAGCCGAGGTTCGTTACTAAAAGGACCACCGCTACCATCAGTCGCAAAAAATAAATCCGAAAAGTCAAACCCAGCGGAGTTTTCAAAACAGCCTGTGCGCACGATGTTTTCATCAGTGACCGCAGGAGCACGAGTCCACGCATCCGGCACCAAACCACGCAGCCAGAAATGACTTTGTTCAACCAAGCCGTAGCAAGCAGACCATGTTGCAGGCACAGGCCCGCATTCCCGGGTACACCCGGGGCATTCAAACAACATATGCAAGAGGGTTAACTCAACATCGCAGGTCGGACAAACACACTGCCGCGAGTTTAAGGAGTGTTGTAAAGCCCCTTGCCACCAAGTCTGCAACAACGGCGCGTCCTGAACCGGCACGCTGTCAAGCAAGCGTTTGTGCAACACAACGTCCAATCCCGACTCCAAACCTTGTCCGAAAAATTGCTGAGACATGAGAAAGCATTGGCGTCTTTTCAAAGAAGCAATAAACCCAAGTTCAATCCGTGCAAGTAAGCAAGGATCACTGAGGCCAATATGCCAAGCAAAGCCAAGGTCATCCATCCAAGAATCAAATTGGCACGCGGTCCAGCCAACATCCATCAGCACAGCCTGAATAGCAGCAAGCGGACCTTTAACGATCTTCCAGCGGTGGGACACGCCAATCAATTCCATCCAGCTTTGCTCCCACGCTTTGGCCAAGGCTGAAGAAGCTAAGACACCACAACGCCTCACCAACTCAAGCCACAGTTTCAACTGTTCAAGGCGCACGCGGAAGTACGGGTCGTCAAGCGGGATAGCGTTAATTTGCATGGCAACTTCCAGCGACCCTCGCCCTTTAATCCACTTGTTTGTTCTGGCAACGTTAAGTCTCCAAGCACGCAACTTGTGAGGAGGGATACCAAGAGCCATATGGCCCCACAAGACCACCGACCCAGCAGACATGTTCACAAACTTGCGTCTTTTACCGGCCGGAAGTTGTCGCACCTTACGGAGCCGTTCGCGGCCTTTCTTTAACCTAGAGTGGTGCACAGTAAGCCTCCTTTTCCTGGCCAAGGAATTATCAATACCAAGGTCTTTGATGGTATCTTTGAGTTCAGGGCAACCGTGAAACTCACTGAGCACACGCTTGAGTTCACGCCCAGTGGCGGCGTCACCCACCAGGAAACCAGACTTTTTGACACTGATTTCAAGGCCACGCGAAGTCAAGCCGTCACGCAGTTCCAGAAAAGTACTCACAGCGTGTTTGGCCACTTGGGATGAATTGAACCCACGCAAATCGACACCAATGTCATCAACCCACGTTGTCAAACCCTGTGGTCGACAAACCCGTTGAACATGCGACATCAAGGTCCAAAGCACGATTTTAGCAAAAACCACACCAAACGGACAACCAGCCAGAATTCCTTTACGCGGTTGGATGGGTTCACTCACCACATCTTGAGCTTGCAATATTCTTGGTCCTTTGTGAACCTGCAAGCAAAGAAAGAGAACAAGCGGCGGAAAACCCAGAGACAACGCATCTTCCGCAAGCAGATTGTGGTCAACCAAATCATAAAAACAAGTGAGGTCCAACAACAAGCTGACCTGTTTCAAACCTAACTTTTTGCTAACTTCAGCTTTGCAAAGCCGAAGCAACGCCACTTGAAGACAAGTAGAGCCTTTGACCGCCTGATCCCAAAAGGCAAGTTCTTTGTCATTCAGGAGCCAATGATCAACCAGAGGCTTACGCATTTTACACCAAAGCCGATACAACACGTGAGTCAAACAGATCGGTCTTTCACACTCCAAGTTCTTAGGCAAACATGCAACCTGGACAAGTAAAAACTGTTCCGGCCAACGCAAACGAGCTTCAACTAAATGCAAAATGTAAACCAATCCACTGTAGGCTTCACGCGGGAGCAATTTCAAGAAACGAAACGTGCAACCATCCGGGCCGCCCTTTTTATTGGCAGTGTATCTCAAAGTTTCAACGACCTGAGCCGTCGAAATTGGTTTTAGCTCTTGGGCCTGTTGCCTCGCCAAACTCTCCAACAAGTCAAGACAAGGCCACTCACTAGCACCGTCAACTTCCCCCCAGTGGGCTTTCCAGTAAGTTCGTCTAGCCTCGGCCCTTTCAGCAACAGGCATGTTTTGAAAGGGCCTGGCTTCAACAGCGTCATCCGCCTTGATGAAAGCAAAGCCTTCCTTACCACTACCACTAACCATACGTTCCACAGCGCAACCCCATGCGACAGCCTTTTCCTGCAACAAACATTTCAAGAACCACCGTTTCTGCACGCAAACATCGGACACGACCCGGTCAAGGACACAACGGTTAAGGGTACCAACTCTAAGCAATAAATGCTTAAACTTCCAAGCCATGTGATAATGCAAACCATCAACAAAAACCCACATAGTTTCAACACGGACAGCCGCTTTAATAATCAACTGGAACATTCGGCCTTTCAAGGCCTGAACATTAGTATTACAAGTACCCTGGTGTCTCTGGAAGGTTTCAACCCAAGAAGTCAAAGTTTGCCAAAACTCTACGCTAGGATGTTTCCACAAACGTTCACTGTGAACTTCAGGCATGGCCAGTGGCTGCATTTCAATGGCCACGCGGACACCTCTTCCAAGGTCCTTACTGTCCACATCAGTTTCAACTGATTTCAACCAACCCTCAGCTTGGGCCATCCATCTGCCGAAAATTTGTGACAATTCAGTATCACACAGCTGCTGGCTAGGACAGACCAGCTGAGTGCACAACTGTACATCGTCAACTTCAAAACGGCTCCAAGGAAGCCGAGGTCCTGGCAGCAGAGGCACATCCTTGTAGCACCGCGGAGCGGTAAGTGGCCAATGTTGATGCGGAGAACAACAGCAGCATGTGGTCTCCAAGGCACATCCCATGTGACCTGGATAGAACACAATCCGGCCAGGGATTTGTGGGCAACAGCATAGTCCAAAGCACTAGCTGAAGTGCTGTAGGTGGGTTCACCTGTATCAAGGATAGCTCCAGAAACAGCCCTCAGGAAATCTGATTCCCCTAAAGCACTGGGCTCAGCATTCCAATCACCAACGACCAGCCAAGGTAGTCCATCCGCCAAACTTTTAAGACAACCTCTCAAAGCGCCCAAAAGTTGACAGTTTGTTGAACCAAACAAGCCTTCACCGGTTCTCAAGTAAATGGAAAACAAAGCCAGCTTGCACCCAGCCAGTTCCAACAGGATGCCACACCACCCATTGCCACCCAAGCTATAGCTGGCAAGGGTGCTCGCACCAACTGTCCTCGCAGCCACTATAAACTGACCACCCGCAGTTCCTCCACGCCCTGTGGCTTCAGCGGGGAGGTAAAAGCCTTCCAAACCCCAAGACTTTAACTGTCTCTGCGTCTGCTTGGTTTTCGTCTCTGTCTGGTGAGTTTCCTGGATAGCAAAAACTTGAGTACCTCTTCCAAGCCTTGCCGCCAGCCAACTGCTAACTGCAGTATTATAGCTGGTGACATTGGCACTACAAAGCGTAATGCTACCCTGACCCTGGACCTTCTTCAACCTTGGCGGGGGGGGGTTCCTGAACCTCATCCATCTTCCTTCTCTTTTGGTCCCGCAGTACACCGGCCATGTCCAACAACCTCTGCCGCTGCTCTGGCCGGAGCTGATCCCCCATTGCACCCAAGATTGCCTGGATGAGATTTTCGTCCCCTCCTGCAACGGGAGCCTCCTCCATGTCACTGTCTTTTGGCAAGCCCAAGGCATATTTCCAATACACCTTGGAGCTCTCTTCCACCTCAACCTCAGCTGCCTGCAAACCCTCTGTTGCTTCTTGCACCTTGGCTTCAAGCAAAGCCACCTGCTCTTTGGCCTTCTCCAAACGCTGCTCTGCCTGAACCTTGACCTGGCCTGCCTTCTTGAGGTGCGAGGTTGCCTTTTGGAACCTCAGGAATCACACCCTGGAGTAGCACAACGAATAAAAGCCCCCTGTAGGCCATTCGACATGACACTAAAGGAAGCCAGGGCCTAACTCACCTTGATCCGTAACTTTCTAAACTTCTGAAACCCATATGAAAATGATGATTTTAGCTACTTTTTCGTCCTGCTGCTGCTGCTGCTCCTTCTGTTCAAAAGACAGCTGCCGGATGGGAAAGCACCATGGCAGTGAAGGACGGAGGAGCATCAAAATTGCACCCCAAAACTGCCTAACGTAACTTCTGAAACCCATAGAAAATGATGATTTTAGCTACTTTTTCGTCCTGCTGCTGCTGCTGCTGCCGCTGCTGCTGCTGCTGCTCCTTTTGTGCAAAAGACAGCTGCCGGATGGGAAAGCACCATGGCAGTGAAGGACGGAGAAGCATCAAAATTGCACCCCAAAACTGCCTAACGTAACTTCTGAAACCCATAGAAAATGATGATTTTAGCTACTTTTTCGTCCTGCTGCTGCTGCTGCTGCTGCTTTTGTGCAAAAGACAACTGCCGGATGGGAAAACACCATGGCAGTGAAGGACGGAGAAGCATCAAAATTGCACCCCAAAACTGCCTAACGTAACTTCTGAAACCCATAGAAAATGATGATTTTAGCTACTTTTTCGTCCTGCTGCTGCTGCTGCTGCTGCTGCTGTTCCTTCTGTTCAAAAGACAGCTGCCGGATGGGAAAACACCATGGCAGTGAAGGACGGAGAAGCATGAAAATTGCATCCCAAAACTGCCTAACGTAACTTCTGAAACCCATATTGCAATGATGATTTTAGCTACTTTTTCGTCCTGCTGCTGCTGCTGCTGCTGCTCCTTCTGTTCAAAAGACAGCTGCCGGATGGGAAAACACCATGGCAGTGAAGGACGGACAAGCATCAAAATTGCAACTCAAAATTGCCTAACCATAGAAAATTATGATTTTAGCTACTTTTTCGTCCTGCTGCTGCTGCTGCTCCTTCTGTTCAAAAGACAGCTGCCGGATGGGAAAACACCATGGCAGTGAAGGACGGAGACGCATCAAAATTGCACCCCAAAACTGCCTAACGTAACTTCTGAAACCCATAGAAAATGATGATTTTAGCTACTTTTTCGTCCTGCTGCTGCTGCTGCTCCTTCTGTTCAAAAGACAGCTGCCGGATGGGAAAACACCATGGCAGTGAAGGACGGAGAAGCATCAAAATATGCTGCAAAGGCAGCCCTCCCGGACAGGGAAACGCAGTGGCAGTGAAGGACGGAACGGCGACAAAATGTAGCCCAAAAACTGCCTAACGCGTCGTCCGTGTCGTCTGAAACCGTAGAAAAACTGTGTCAAACATGGCCTTCCTGCTGCTGTGCTGTGCTGATGCTGCATGGTGTACTGGTGCTCGGCTGCTGTTGATGCTGCTGCCTAGTGCTGCTAATGCTGCAAAGGCAGCCAAATGTATTATTCCCTGGCGCGCTCCCCCTTGCGTCTGCCGGGGTCGGCGGATATACCATTCTAATCCATAATATAATATAACATAATATAATATAACATAATATAATATAACATAATATTATATTAGCGACGGACTGAAACTTAGAATGCCTCCGTGTTTGTCCAATATTTTACGGGTGCCACTTAGAATGCCTACATTTTGGGCTCACTTAGAATGCCTCCATCACCAAAACATTCAAACCTGCGAGCTGGACTTTTATGGGGCATTCTAAGTGCGCATGATTCTCGCCATATTTGGAGACTCTTTCGATATTTTTTTGGTCCGAGGCATTTTAAGTTTCAGTCCGTCGCTATTGGAGATATAGACTTAAACTCTTGATGGTATATATACTTGATTATATAATCCCCTGTTTTGGTGTGAATATGCTAGTTGTTGTCCTCTAAATCCCATTTGTGGCTGAAAGAAATCCCAAAAATGAATCATATGTATATATAATATATATATATATATAGTGAGGGTTATTCAATATCAATATCCCATTCTGTCCCCATGTTATCACCGCCAACACCCAATGAAATCCGCTTATATATATGAAATCCGCTTTGATGGCGGCATAGCAGGCAGCGAGTGAAAGGAAACCAAACAAGTGCATAAAGGCAGAATGGGCACGATGCCATCTCATGAGATTGGATTTATATAGAATTATTCATATGAAATAATAAATTTATACAATCCTTCAAACCATGTTTTTTCATTAAAAAAACAGAGATTTTGCAACAGAATGATGACATTTGCATATGTTTTTGGCGGCATTCTACTGCAAAAAACAGAGATTTTGCAACACAATGATGACTTTGGAAAATATGGGGTTCAAATGTTTGACATGCTGCGAGCTGGACTTTTTGGCCGGAGGCATTCTATGTGTGGTACTCAATCTCATATTACCCTGTAAATTCTCACAAAATTTACCTCCGAACGATTCATTAAAAAAAGTCCAGCTCAAATAGCAGGTAGTTGAAAATTGCATTTTACGAGGGTTTTTTTTTAAGATTTTGCTCTCGCGGCGGCATTCTTTAGGACTGGGCGAGCTGAAGGGGGCCGGCATTGTAAGTTTCAGTCCGTCACTATATATTGTATAATATTATACTACATTATATTATATATTATATTATGTTATGTTATGTTATATCATATATATATATCATATATGTCATTGTAAACCCAGTCCATATCAGTACAATACAGGGTTGCTTGGTGATCATATAGTATTCACATGTTTTATTATTGAAGTTACATGTCTCCATCATTATCGGGTATGTTGAGTTGTATTAAATATTTTTCAATGATTAAATTTGATAATGTACATTAACACTCTTAACATCCCTTTGATGTTTTTTTTTTACACGTAAGGTTGGATCAAACTTGTGAATCCCAAAATAGCGGCGACTACCAATTCTGAAAATGGCCAGTAACTGTAGGTTGATGGTCCACAACTGGACATGCATGTATAGCATGATAACGACGTAGACATGTATTTCACAGTGAGAAGCCTCTGTATGAGTTGAGTTTGTGATGCTTTCAGTGTGAGAGATTGTTCGCCAATATCATCCAGTATGAACACTTGTAACTAACGTGGTATGATCGTTCTGTCCAGTTGCACACCTCGTCCAAATGATAACGCTTGCTGTGGATGCAGGTAGTGTGTAGCAAGTCATCAAAAACATCCTTTGCAGTTGAAAAGAACATTGTTCTATAAGGACATATCTAAGTCTCCCGCCAAGTGCGTCACCGCCTGATTCTTTACATAGCGGCTTGAAAGAAATACCCGTGGTTCTCTGGTTCTAAACTACATACCGCTTCCAAGATCCAAGTCATTTACAGTAAGCATCTTGAAATTCAATACTTTCTGGTGCCAAGACAGAGATACAACTGATACAACCATCAAGGAACTCAGGACCCACATTTTGTTGGTGATTTGGTGATTTCAGTGGGTGTTGCCAGGCGGCAGGTTGCAGAAGTTCGGCAAATGCTCACAGGCGGGACTGAATCTCGAGATGCGAGATGGCTAGAAACATCTAGAAACCAATGAGTGCCAATGACCGGATTTCCTCACAACTTCAAAGACTTCAAATCCAATCCGCAGGTTTCAATTAGGGATGAAATTTAGCTCCGCAACACTCGAGCTCTGGCAGTCCGGCAGGAGCAGAAGCCCGCTGCCAAGTGCAGCTCACGATACCTCGAGGGCCAAAGCCCATTCGCGCCTCAGCAAACACTATAGCTGAATTTCCCTTAGTATATACATATATGATTCATATATTATACTGTTTGTGCATGGGTTGGATGTTCGCCAGCGGGTTCGGATCCACACGCGCTTTCATTTTTGATTTAGAGCACAAGCCAAAATTGGATTCAAACATGCAACCGAAAGTAAGTTGGTTGACATGTTTTTTCAGGGCTGGGAGTCCATGCAAGGGTCCCAAACCATGTTAAATATAAATTGGAAGCGGAAGTACTTCTATAGAGTCAATTCGCAATGGATTGCTTCGGGAGTGTTCTTTCACTTTGGCCAAGTTCCACAATTCCACTGATTTGGGTGGAGGTCCATTCACCATTATCACCATGCTATTTGCAGCTACTTTTGGCCATCATATCATATCATATCAAATCATATATCATATCAAGCTGTGGTTTTTTTTCTACACATCGCAAGTGCCACGAAGGAATGTTTGTCGATGGCGTGTTTGACTTGACGCATTACGGCGACTCGCTTGTGCATTGGATGGGCATGGCATCGTTTTGAGTTTTTAGCGAATAGCTTTTTCAAGAGCAGAGTGAGTTTCATTTGCAGTGACTTTGTTTCACTGAGATATAGCTGAACAATGCTCCAAAATACTTTTTTCATCTTTTTTCAATGTAATGGCCGAATGAAACCCACGATAATCAACAATCAACCATCTTACCTTTGCTCCAACCTTTCAGGTGACTGTTAGTGTTTCCAACATGTATGAACCAGGGTCGATTGGCTGATCATCCTTACAATTTGATCATTGGATGCTTCGACTTTGCAGGTCATATGAATGCCTTTCGTCAAGCAAGGGCGCTGGGACAGCAACTTGGATCCACCGTTCCTGCCATCAACTCTTCCCATGGCTGTTCTGATGCCTTTTGGATAGCTGTAGTTCCCAAGTTGGCAAAGTCAAGAGAACTATAAAGACTTTTAAAGAGACTACTAATTACATCTAATTACATCTAATTACTGTATCCTGTATATACATCTAATTACATCTAATTACCAAATTTCATGTAAGAGGCGTGTCAACTCGTTTCGAAAGTTCACATTGACATCAACCACTCCTCACCCCCCCACGATCCAGCTTTCGCATAGGCATCTGGTGGTGGGTGTGAACAGCGACGAGTCCGTGCTCCAGGCTCTTTGCCTCAAAATTGGAAGCTTCCACATCCGAGGAAAGGGAACATGGAGATACTCCCAGAAGATCTTTGTTTCAATCTACTTTGTCTACTTTACCTCTTTTTGGGATTATGTACATGGCTTTGAGTCAATTACTGGAGCATACCCAGCAAACTGCTACGACTGCTACGATGACATGCCACCATGCCCTGCAAGGCCAAAGGCTTTCTGCCGGTGCTGATGGACTCAGAGCGACAAGCTGCGGTGCTGGGCTGTCGTTTTGTGGATGAGCCACTTGGATCACTTGGCCGTGCTAATGACATCTAATGACAATGCCAAAAAGGATGCAAAATGTTGCAAAAAATGCATATTTTGATGTGAGCAAAATCCGTCTAAGGATAGTTCCAGCGAGGCTTGTCTGCAAATTGCAGTTTGCAAGAATTGCTCTTTTATTCTTTTTTATTCTTCAAGTCTGTTTCATGGCCTGTGGAATTTGAACCCTTGAAACAGGGTTGTCAAAATCAGCCTCTGAAGATCTTTGAAGCAATTGGAGGTTCCCAAGGTGAAAACTCGTCGAAGTCCAATGAAACTGTGTCGTGTTAGCGTGTTCAGCTTGATTTTCTGGCACTGATGTGCCTTTGAATTCTGGCTCTCCTTGTCCTCTTATTTTGTGTTCGTATATTCACACATGAACTATGATGAAGTGATGCTTTCTTGTCCGCAGAAATGAACAAACCGAGGTCTCCATATGTCATGTGCCTTGGCAATACATTCACAACATTGACCATGAAAATCATGAAACACGCTAGGGTCGCTAAAGGCAAGTTTTGGCAATGCCACTCTTTGGATCCAAGCTCACTGCATCATCCAATCTGAACAGGTTTTGGGCCAAGACCTTCACAGCCTTCACAGTTAATGGTTCAGTGTACCAGGGATGTGGATGCCTCATGATGCTTCTACAATCTTGCTCCGGACCACGCGTGTTAAAGATGATTTTGTTTGTATCCCGTTTGAAGACTTGAAGGACAATAGACATTCCGCCACACCTCAAAACAGGTCCAACAATTTATGATCGATTCTCTGTTCCGAGTTATTCCAACGTGTTCGTATTTTGTTGTCTCTGAGGACTGCAGAATACATTGAGGAACTGGTGGAATCCAAAGGCATTGAGGCTTGTCTCAGAGTGAGAGTGTGCATGCGAGGCATTGGAGATGAGGCCCCGAGTTGACGCCATGGTCACATTTGTTTTTTGAAAATTTGACCCAAACCCGGTGTTTTTTTTTTGGACGCATATTTCCTCTCCGTTTGTTCAGCCCTCAGCCCAGGATTACTTTGTACACGGTGACGACCCGTGCGTGGTAGATGGCCGTGATGTGTAGCGTAGCTGCAATCCTCCTTGGTTGTCACGTTTATCTCTTGAGAATGGTGTGATTGTTCGCACATGTTCGCACCACAGAAGCAGATCTTGCTGTTGCTTGAGCATTCTGTAGGACCCCGTACATGTCAATTTGGAGTCGAGCGTGGGACTGCTCTCTGCAACTTTGATACCGTGGCAGCTGCAAGGTATGAAGCAGCCCGAAAAGCAGGCAGATTCTGCACAATTCCAAGAACAGACACTGGGCTGAAAGCTGACGATGGAGCTTGAAGGCACAACACCCAGCTTCTACACTTAGAATACTCCTCCCTGAAAGTCAAGATGTCAGAATGTCAGGCCCCGTCGGCCCATATGGATTTCCAACTCTTTCTGACATTATTCAGAGACATGGTATTTGGTTCAGAAGATTTGATTTCTTTCCAGGTGGAACATATGGTGGGCAAGGCGGCTGTTTGTGCTGAGGAAGGGATCTCCACCACGGACATTGTTGGGCGCTTGTTGCTACTCACACAGGTGGGGTCGTCCGGTTCCACGAGGGTACCCCCAAGTTGAAATTGGATGGTATGACCACAATCTGTGATCAGTTGGGCCTTGAATATCGAATATCCATAATATCATCTAGGAATATCATAATATCATAATTATCCATATAATATCATATAATATCCATTAATATCCCATAAATAACACGCCTTATCTCCACACAATCTTTGGCTCGTTGCATGGCCAGGATCACCACATGGGGCATCTTGTAGATCAGCCAAGTCCAGTTTCCAAGCAGGGGGTCTTTGCGTGGCTTGACCTGAAGGGCATGGCATGTCAGCAAAATGGCACGGGTGAAAATTTTGTGCGCACAAAACCGCAGATGTTTGGCTATGCTTGGCGTGAACCATGCTGTTTTTCGGGGCAACTTTTGACTGGCTAATATCATCTAATATCAAAATTCATTTCCATCTGTTGCAGTGTCTCCCTCCCTCATAGTAGATGCTGGTACTGAATGATGTACATTTTAATTGTTGAGGCATGGCCATTCTGTTCCATTCTGTTCGGCATTCCACGAATGACAGTTGTACTCCAGTGACCTTGGATAGCCCAGGTCGAAGCAATCAAACTTCTTGGTGTCTTGGCTGATCTTGGCTGATTCCAGATCATATATGAATCATATATGAATCATATATGATCACATCAATAGAAGATAATAGAAGTAGTGAGATGACCTCTTTTCCCTGAGTGGTAAACAACCTTGGACTTGGCAGTACCGATTTACAGTACACTGGTGAAGAAATGGGGTATTAAAATGGAGACATGACTGGTGAAGCCATGTGAAACCTACTAGGATAATATTGGGATAATATGACCATCACGATCCCAGATAGGCCAGAAACAACATACCCTCTGGTAAACTAACATAACTACGGAAAATCACAATTTTTAATGGGTAAATCCACTATAAATGGCCATTTTCAATAGCTATGTTAGTTTACCAGAGGGTATCTAAAACGTTCTAAAACCACCAACTAATGTTGAAATTTGCAGCTCAACTCTCCAGGTCACTTCGCAGCTACTCAGGGCATTCTCAGGTGCTTTGCCTGGACAGAAGCCTGGCAAGGCCGAACAAGTCTGGGTGACAGAAACGGTCCCGATGTTCTTTGATGTTAATATAAACTATAGACTTATGATGTAAATAGATGTAAATATATGATGTGAATATGCAATATGCAAAAATCATGACTCAATGGGCTCGGTGCTAAAGGCTAAGTGCAACCACTGTGCGCTTTGCCACCTGCAGGTGGTCTATGTGGATGGCGCTTGGGATATGTTTCACTGTGGCCATGTGGCCCTGCTTCGAAACGCCAAAGCTTTGGGCGATCTTCTGATTGTGGGCGTCCATGCTGATGCGGTGCGGAAGCTGATTTTTTCGCAAAGGGACCACGAAAGGGTCTTAAACATTCTTAAACTACTTTGTCTCCCTATAGTAATGGACTTAGCACGTGTGAAACTCAACCGATTTTGTCCTTGTTGCTGCACATTACATGACCTTAAATGCATCTTAAATTGATGTACCAGTCAATGAGCTTGTTGGGCAGATTCGGCAAGATTCACACATGATCAAATCACTCAGCTTGTGTATGGTCATCGCGGGCTTGAGACGTTCCATGAGCATCTCCCAGTATCTCCCGGTGACAGGTGGTGAATCAACATCGTGGCTCAAACTATCCTATCATGAACATGCAGGAGCGTGTGCTGAGCGAATCTTGGCTGACTCAATGGTGAATCCACTGATGCAGCTGGTCTAATCTTTCTTGGGACATCTTGGGACAGCAATAGGTATTGCATGGTATTGCAATCTTTCAAGTCCTGTGCCTGCATCGCTTTTCAATGCCAACCATTTGTTTAACCAAAAAGTCCCTGATCTACGTTTTCTCTGGCATTTCAGGCATTGCAACCTCAGCTGGAAGTGAATGGTACCACACACCCAAGCGCCAGGCTGTTCACTGATCCTAGGTGCTTGGCTGCCGCTATGTGGATGACGTTTTACTGGATGCCCCATGGCAGGTCACGCGGGAGATGATTGCCACCTTAAGACTCTTGGTATCTCTTGGTGAAGGTGAAGTCAGCATACAGTTGCACTGTTGAGTTCTTCAGATTGAGATAATCAGATGTTTGCGTTGCATTCTTTTGATTTCGGACATGTTCTTTGGCCTTGTGTGCTTTGATTCATGGAAATCTGATGAATCTTGCAATTCATGGAAGAGTTTGTTAGATTTCTTGTTTGGACTGCGTACAGCTGCAAGGAATATCTGTGGTGGTTCGCGGCACGATTTGCGATACAGATGTGCGCGATGCAGATGATCCCCACAACATCCCGTGACTCGGAGAGCCAGGTCCGGTGATGGTGAATTTCAACCAATGTTGTCATCTAATTTTTGCCATCTATTTGGTCACTATCTGGTTATCAGATGGCTCTGGCTCCTGTTGCTTCTTTCGATGCCTATGGGCCTATGCCTTTGCTCAGGAAGGAGATGGGCATTCAGGTAGAGTTGGACAGCGAGGACGTGGTTTCACATGTTTCCATAGTGGAATCCACCACTGTTTATAGGAAGTCCCGGGCAAGGGTACGATCCACCACAGCTTTCAGCGGGTCTTATCCCTAGTGGATGGTTGCAGAAGCTGGATCGCCAAAGAGCGTGAAGTTGTCCAGTAGGTTGCGATCTTTGCTCAGATCGGAGGAATCAAATGTTCTAGTAGGTCCTGTAACATACCCAAAGGCGCACAAAAACATACAAAAACCATCAAAACACGTGCCAGCATCCCCCAATGACCCTAAGATTCCTTACTTTGTGCTTTTCAGGAATCTTTGTCCCTCGCAGTGATCGCCCAGCGCTTGCACGAGCGCCGGTCAGATCTCTTTGAGAGACATAGAAAAAAGGCGAATCTCGGCTGGCCACAAGACCTACTGGGAATCCCGGGCTAAACAGTGGATTGTTTGGATTCCCCAGGCTGGCAGCGGCTGGCAAGCATTGATTGCTTTACCATGCTTCAAACATGTTGAGAGGGAGAGGGACGGAGAGCGCGCGAGAGAGAGAGAGAGAGAGGGGAAGCTTGAAGACCCAACAACACCCTTTGAACCTACACCAATCAAGGAGCGTCCTTCAAGCATCTTAAAACGGCAGTCATTTTGGTCTAAATCTATGGTTGTTTAGGCCTAGGCCTCAAGATGTTAAGGTTTTTGCACATCGGCTCAGCCCAGGACTCAAGAAGATGATTGGTATCGCCGGAAGCATGGGCTCAGCAGTCGGAGCTGATGGTTGTGGGTGGTGCTTCAGACTTTTGATGGTCAGAGATCTGCACCTCAAAACTGGCACTTTTTCTTTCCGGATGTCACCTCTGAAGCACCTACCTAATTGTACAAAGAATCTGCCATCGCCGTGCCGAAAATGGGCATGGCTGATGTGCAACCAGCTGATTCCAAACAGAAAGCACACCGAGCTGCAATTGCTTTGAAATGCCTACATGTGCACTTGTGTTGCTATAGTACAGGACTGCTTTGACTAGTGTTGTCCTGTAAGCAAATATTGCTATTTGATATTGTTATATTATTGTAATTATATAATATATGAATTTTCTTAGGTAGTCAGGTCTATTGTAGAGCTTCGCACACCGGCGATGCCACAAAGGTTCCTGATCCCCGCCGATTCGCTGTTCCTGTTCCTGTTCCTATTCCTGCACTCCTGTTGTTGTTGTTGTTGCTGTTGTTGTTGGTGTTGCTGTTGGTCTTGGTCTTGGTTTTGGTGTTGTTGCTGCTGCTGCTGTTGCTGTTTTTGATGACGGTGGGGATGCGAACGAGCGCAAAGCACGATGTAGTATCTCCCATTCGCAGGATGTCACTATGCCAGGAGCTCCTGAGGGAAAGGAATTTCCACCAGTTCCTCCTTTTTCTCCAGTTCCAGTGGCTACTCCACAGACGCCGGTCAGCGGAGCGAGTTGCCATGTGGACTTGTGAGGCCCAAACTTATGAATTGATAAGCGGTTATGCTGCAGCTAAGTCTGACACTGTGAGCGTGTGACAGCGACAAGGTCATGACGTGGTCATGGATTTGCTTGCGGTGTGCAAAATTGTCTTTAAACTTAAACTACACAGTTCACTAGACGTGTCTGTCTCAGTCGTCGCATGTTTGCATAAGAGACTACTCACTACTCCGTCAGTGTCACGGCTAAGATAGCTTGCAGGATTTGATTTTGAGGGCGGCAGGGGCCCTCCATCACCCCGATGCGGTGGTCCTTCGCGCCGAGCTTAAGTAGCGCAGGCCATCCTCAGCGGGTTGCGGTGCAGAATGCCTTACAGGTCAAACCTTGCTTGAGTGCTTTAGTCATTTAGTTGTTTGCATGGGAAGAGGTTGGCCCGAGAGATTCCGCGGCAGCCGCCATGGCAATAACATTTCGATTGCGCTTTCGACGGCAGGCATACAGATTTCAACTACTAATAGAAACAAGATCTGTTTGTTCATTCGCCTTCCACGATTCCACGTTGGAAGGCCTTGTATGTGTTTCAGTGGCCCTGTTTTGCGGGCAAAGGCACCCACAGCCACAAGACTTACATCTCCTTGGTTCCAAGATGCATCAAAGATCCACTACAGAACACATTAGGAAAAATCAAATTCGTTTGCCCATTCGCCTCCCTAAGTTACGCTGTGCTTGTCGTTATTTTGTTGCTCTTGATCTTGCAGGGCCGTTGTTATCTTGTTGTTTCTTGTTGTTCTTGCTCCTGCTGCAAGGCCATTTAAAACTATCATTCCCCGGCGCGCTCCCCCTTGCCCTAGCCGGGGTCGGAGGATAGTATTTTTAAAGGACTTGATCTAGAATTAATATATAGCGGTATAGGACCAGGAATTAACAGACACGACGGCGAGGATGTTTCCCTTACGATTTCCCTGGGAAAATCATGTTAGGCAACTGCCTGGACTGCCCAATTGTCGGGACAGTCAAAATCCAACCATCAAACTCGGCAGGACCGCAGGGCGTGCATCAGCTGCGCCGTCCGGGGCCGCATGGGGGAAGCATTGGTTTGGCATGGTTTTGCAGCGCAAAACTGACTCGTAATGTTCTCCCACGGGCCAGGGTTCTTGGAGATACGGAGCGGGTGATATCTGGCCATACTGTAGTAGTTTTGTTTGGACGATTGTTCCCAGCCTATCAACGCATCCTTCCTGGTGCAGTTTGGGTCAACATTCCAACTTACAACATTGTTACAAAACTTGTTGCGTCCGCAGTATACATTGAGCGTTTCAGGTTTTTGTCTGTTCCGGTTAGAGTAATGTTGGCTCCTGATTAGTGTAGGGCCCCCCCTAAACAATTTTTGGATCCTCTTTAATATCTTTAATTTGGAAATTTTTGAGAGTCGGGTATTGAATAATGTGTGATCAAAAAAAAATTAAAGATTTCAATTCATTTTCAATTGACTTCAATTTATTTTCAACTGGTTTCAATTTATTTTCAATTGATTTCAATTGATTTCATTTGATTTTCAATTGATTTCAGTTTACTTTCAACTGATATCAATTTACTTTCAATTGATTTCAGTTTACTTTCATTTGATTTTCAATTGATTTTCAATTTACTTTCAATTGATTTTCAATTGATTTCAACTTATTTTCAACTGGTTTCAATTCATTTTCAATTGATTTCAATTGATTTCATTTGATTTTCAATTGATTTCAGTTTACTTTCAATTGATTTCAATTTACTTTCAATCGATTTCAATTGATCTCAATTTACTTTCAAATGAAACTAAGAAAGTAAAAGAAAAAGTCTTTAGCAAAGGAAAAGGTAAAGGGAATGTTTGGAAAAATAATCACCTCAGGAAGGACCCCCCAAACAAACATACTATTGAGGATTGGGGTTGCTCATGGACTACCCCCTTGAAAAATTGTTGGGGTGCTGTTTTTTTAATTAGGTTTTAATAAGGCATCCTATATAATTAATTAATTATTGCTGATGGGTCATAATTAACCTATTTAAAAACATGTTTCTTCAGACAACAGCTGGAGACAATAGAGGACCCCCACAACAAATATATTATTTAGGATCAATAGTGCTAATGAAAAAAAACTGAAAATGAAATAATAAATATTTTTTTTGAAAATTAAGTAAAAAACATAAAATGAAAAATAATAAACAAACAACTGAAAAAATGAAATAAAAAACTGAAAACATATTAAAACATGAAAAATGAAAAAAACATGAAACAAAAAATAAATAAACCGAAAGACATGAAAAATACAACCAAAAAAACTTTACACAAGATAGCGACACCCCAAATCATTTCCACAGGGTCGGAATTATTTTGGAAAATTTTACACAAAAACGTCCCCCGACATTAATCAGGAGCCCACATTATTTTCCATTACGGGCAAGGAGAAGCGAGTTCGCATGTGTACTGGCTAGCTGACTAGCTCGCTGTTTTCCTTTCTGGGTTGCACGGCTCCTCTAAAACAGTCTGCAACAAACTGGACCACAAAAACAAAAGATTAGTCTTGACGGTGGGTGATTCGAAGTCAAATTGGCAAAATGCATTAAATCCGTTTGCGGGTTCTGCAATGAATAGATGCAAATATCAGAATTCTCGGTCCAACTTGTGCAAAACTGTTGAGAGGTCATTAAGATCCACTGTGCCGTGAGTGTGAGAACATGCATCATCTACTGCTGGCCGGAGAGTCACTCTAGGAAATAATGAAACCAAGATGAAACCAAGTATCATCAACCATCACATCTCATAACTTTCAATTCATATTCAACCCATGTCGATTACATAATAATCCATAGATGTCCAGCTGATCAAACTGAAATCCATGTTCCCTGAGGTTGGTGGCTTTGACCTAGCGGTTTTGTCCTTGGCCCTTGTGCGCCCCTTACTACACCTGCTATGGATTTGACACTTCCGTTCTCTTGATTGACACATGAAGATGAAGGTAATGTGGTTTCAATGAAAATCAGCACCTATTCACAGTCACAGCCACAGCCTTCTTCGAATAATTTGAATGATAGATAGCAGTCATCCCTACTCTATGTTTCTCCCATCAAAAGTGTTGCTTTTTTTGGGTTCTTTCCATCCAGTTCTCCACTTAGCAGCGCTTACAGGCGGACTTTGCCTTGATGCAATCGCCAGTGATCCAAGGTGGGCATCTACTTGCCGCGGCTCAACTATACCGAGGCGAGACTGCACAGATGGCTTCCAGGGAAGCAAAGATGGGGTGGAGAAGAAACTACAAACACCGTCTTGTAGGTTCCACCATGAATACCATCTAGAATCTAGATATCATTTATACATATTTATACCATTTAGATATAATTTGAATTTGTGTTAACATTTAACCCAATTGCCAATTGCTAGTTAGACATTTCACGTATTCTCAGACATATCGATGTGCACGCCTCTTCCCCAGTCCGTGTCAGTTGAGCTTCCTACTCTTGGCAGCTGTGGTCACCCTGTTACAGGCGCACTGGTTATCGCCACCGCTCACAACATATACGATCACCATAGATCCCGGATGCGTTGGATGTTCATTGGCAGTTTGGCACGCTTGACCGTTTCCATCCAAACATGCCGGTCCTAAAAGCTTTGGAACCTGGGGATGTCAGTGACAACATCATTTTAGTGCTATCATGTGAAGCATATGCTCAGGTTGGCAGACCAGGCATTTTCCATGCGGCCAGTGCATTGGCAGTCCCTCAGATGCAGAACGCTGCACGCTGCGCATCTTCGACAGCCCTGTGACGGACCTTGGCTGAGGACGATCTCTTTTTGAATCCGCAGAGTCTTCTGGGCTTCTTCCTTTGCGCTGATCCTTGGACATAATTATTATGTACCAACACTAAAGGACCTTGCACCAGGGAATGAAGTGTGTGTAATCTAATCACAATATTGCTACCTACAATATTGTTGTGCAGACATGTGCAGACAAGGACATCAAGCGACATCATATTTGTGACACACTCGTACGTGACAAACACATACAAACCCCGGAGGAATCACAAATCGCAGCCACTTCTAAATGACTTGGGTCACGCAGAGAACTCTCCAGTCGCAGGTTTTGTTGCGGTGCCTCGTTATCGCCATGATTGGCTTTGGTTGTGCCAGTGGGGACCCCATTCCAGCAGTGCGGCAAAAGATGACGTGATTGGCCACTTCCGGTTCCAACAGGGTTGTCTCAACATTGGAACCCACAAATCCGATTGGTTCATTGCTGCTTTCCTCATACAAGTTGCTACTTTGGAGTATCAGAATACAAACCCAGATGTGTTTCAGTTGCACCAGAGATGCACATTGAAAAAGCATCAGCTTCGGATGATTCAGTTTCGGGCAGTCTCTCAATGTAGAATCGTTCTCATTCATTCCAGTTGTTTCATCAGAATCCAATCATCTCCTATTTCCAGCTGACTTCCATGTATCCCCAAACCTATTCACATTCTTGATTGGAATATCATGAAAGATCCACTATTAGTACTTAGACCCACTGGCTGTCTCATCAGTGGGGCCATGTGCAACCACTCAACATCTCCAGCCCCCTCGAACCTGCGACGATTGGGACCATTGGTAACCCCAGGCTTCAGCTGGAGTGGCTATTTGCTCTCCACCGTTTCGTTGCTCATCCTGTGGCTACGATTTGCAATAGCAGTTTTTTTTTCAATGGCCACACGGCATAGGTGGAGACTGGTCTTTTTTTTTCTAGATCTGCTGCTTGAAGGGAGCCCAAATTGTAAATACGATCTTTGTTTTGTTTCCATTTGTTTCCTAGAGCTTTGTGTTTTGTGTTGCAATGTTTATTTCACCAAACAACTCCACAATTTTGAAGTTTGGTCCCACTTCTGGCCCTGAACAGATCCAAGGTGGGGCCCAGTCCTCCTTTTCTGTGTGGAAGCTCAAAGGGCGAATGCATCTGTTTTTGATGTGATGTTCCAATAACATATGATAAATCACTGTAAAATTATGATATATAATATATGATATCATATGCTTCATTGATTGGAAGGGGTCTAGAGTGGAATTCCCACTCCAACCCAGCCAGCAGGTGTTTCTTTTGCCCGTGCCCTTGACGTTTCAGCCGACCGAACGCCGATGTGGCTCAAGGCTGATGCGGGCCCGGTAGGCGCCAGGAAATCTCCCCGGATGTCGCCTGCCTCCTTGACATCGCCAGTGAAAGAAATTCACCAGGCGAGGGTCTTGGGGTGTGTCAACCATCCTATGTCAATTCATGTCAAATGTTATGAACGCCCCAACCCCCAACCCACTGATCCAAGGCCATTGTTTTTGTAGGCCATCCACCACTGCTTGGCTGGCCCATCCTGCAAGTTCTCTTGGGTCATGCGTTTGTGACTGCCCGGAAGAGCTGCCAACTTGCTCCGGCAGGAACTGAACCCCATTCCTTATTGCTGGAGCTGATTCGCCAGGCGACGGGGTGATATGGGGTGCAGTAGTCCATGCTAGTCCCTTGAAAGACCCACAGCTACCAGATAGGCTCAGTGTCAGACAGGCCTATTTGTACAGCTGGGTGTCTCTCTTTCTTTCTCTTTCTTTCTTTCGTTCTTTCTTTCTTTCGTTCTTTCTTTCTCTTCCTTCTCTCTCTCTCTCTCTCTCTCTGTCTCTCTCTCAAAAACGAACTTTTGACGAACCCTGATGTGGCCGCGGGGGGCCCTTACCATCCCCTGCAGAATAGATTTACTGTAGGTGCGCTCGGTTTCTGACAGCTTATTGCACCATTTGAACAGGAATAGTTTGACATGTCGATCAAGTAGGGGATGCTGACCAGCTGTAAGAACAATCTCACCGTCCCACGCGGAGAAGAGATGCAGGTACCATTGGACCATGGCCAAGATCCATCCTGCGCAGGTGATTCGGTGCCGGTTGGATGTCTTGGGAGTGTGGAATCCGGATGTTTTTTATTGCTCCTTCAACGGCTGTCCAGTTGGGATGGAGGAGCGTGTTTTGTTTGGCGATTGAAGGAACCTAATTGAAGATTGCGCAACAAGAAGAAACAACTTTGGACTTTTGCAGGTTTCTGATTGCTTGTTTGTGATTTACAAAGGACAGGCATATTCAGATGATACACATGACGACAGATCTTCTTCATTGAAGGATAAATCCCAGATAATGATGGAAGAACCACACTTACATAAATTACATAAGCCAAACTTGCGGCTGGTTGTTTGCAGGTCATATTTGTGCTTTGCACAGTTGCAAGTCAAACCCATGTGGATTTAGCATAAAAACTACTGGTAGGCGTTGAAAGCACAGTTATTATAAATCGCACCTACCTGTGATAATGATTATTATAATAATATTAATACTATTTCACAGTTATTATTACTATCATTATTATTATTATCATCTCATTTGACTAATAATAATAATGATAATGTATGATAATAATAATATTATACTAATAATATAATATTATCATTATTATCATTATTATTTCATTATTTGACTAATCTGATACAGTTTCAGTTTGTATTTCTGGGATGGGAAGGGGAGCCATCAACCATTCGCCGTCAACGCGGTCAACGCCGGTGAGGCGTTTCTTTTCCTGAGCCTGCTCAACTGGAGCCCTTGGCCTCAGTGGAATCAGATTGGTGCAAGCCATTTTGTATTGAGTTGAATAATATGGAGATACCAGATATGTATAGATATATATATATGTTACATATGTGTACTTAATTCTGTGGATATGGAGTTGTTGACTCGACGAATGGCCCTGGTTGGTCATACACTGGCTGAGAACTAGATGAATTTGTAGAAAAAAAATCTTTCACCGCCTGACTGCACCAATCAGTTTTCCGCCCTGGACCAACCCTGGAGGCATAGCATTGAAGCCGCTCAGCTCAATACACTCTGCAGCTTTGGTTGGTGTTGCTTGCAACAGGGTCTTGTCTTCACTTGCTTTGGTAGGTCTCGGTATCTAGTCATTGATCCTATCATGAGTACAAGTTCTGCAACCTTGTTATGGTGAATGCAGGCACTTCCTATTTTCAGTCTGCAATGGAGCAAACCTCTATGGATTGTTTGTCCATGTTTGCCCTGGCTTTGAGGCCCCAGCACATTCATCCTGATGCGCTATCAGAGGATGACCTGCAGGTGGACATTTTGTACAAACAACTTTTGAGGGGCTGATTGAAGATTTGCTGTCAGAAATCTTGTTTACGTTGTCTCATCATGTTTCATCATGTTTCATCATGTTTTATCATGATAGAAATCAGTCGCTTTCTGGAATTGAACAAATCGACTTCTGTTAAGGCTCCAGTGTGTCTTCTGCAGCATGGAGTTGGACAAGGAGGCCCCCTTCGTAGCTCTTGAGCGGTTTGAAATGCAGATCATGCTAAATGGGAGGCCCTTGACAATGCTCGAAGTTAGGATAATGTTGGCTGCCTAATAACCCCCCTAAATTTTTGAAAATTTTCCTTTTTTTTAGGGGGGTCAGCATTCCAATAGTAAATTTGGATCAGATTTCTGGAATCTAAGCTTTTGTTAATGAAAAGTGCTTGCTGCTTTGAAAAGGGTTTTGCTTTACTTTGCTTTCTTCAAACACCTGAAAACAAACCAGGGGAAGCACAATTGGACTTCATTATTGCCATGCCTGGTGCAGGTTTATTATTGCTATTCTGGGGCTTGTAAAGGGGATACCCTTTGTGGACCTGTTTTCTTGTTTTTTAAATAAGGGTTTTATAAGTAAATCAGCTGTTTGGTAATTGGATCAGATTTCTGGAATAAGCTCTGGATACTATACCATGCCCCCTGGACAAGGTCAGAACATGAGTTTTTCAGCAATACTAAAATTAAATTAGGCTAATTGACTTTTAGTATTGGAGAAAAAACTGGAGTTGGGAAAAAAGTTTCTACTATTGCCATGTTGGGTCCACTATTGGCCATGCCCTCTGGACAAGGTCAGAACATGAGTTGTTTGGCAATACTAAAATCAAATTAAGCTAATTGACTTTTAGTATTGGAGATAAAGCTGGAGTTGGGGAAAAAAGTTTCTACCAATGACAAGGTATCACTATTGGCTAGACAACATTAGCCCCATTGCAATGCTGAAAAGACTCCCTCCTGGATGAATCATGATGCATCACACTGGATCGTGTAACACCTGTGGACGAAACAGTATCACTAGTAGGTTAGGCTCATCAGTATAGAAAATCAAAATAGTTGGAAATCAGTCGTGAACTAGCAAGTATTTTGTAGCTCAGATGGAAAGGACTAAGCCAACTTTCCCTAGTTTGCATGGCTGAAGTGCGTTTTTTACAGAGGTCATCACACTCTTGATGACCTCCCATTACGGAAGGCAGGGTCCTGCAGTGGCTAACCGTTTGATTTGACGTGATCACTGTCAATGCGCATCAACATTACAGTAATTTCACACTGACATTTAGATCCGAGGCTTGTGCACTTGTATCACTTGGCAGTAGGAGGGCTTTATCGCACAAAACGAACACATGTTTATCATTCATTGTTTACCCATCGTGCAGGAGCTTCTTGCTGCACAGAAAGCACAGCAGGCACCGTCAGCTGCACCAGTGGCCTTGAATGGCTCCAAAACATTCCTTTCCGCAAGATGGCATGGGTATATACAGTACTAGTTTATACACAGGAAACATGACCCGATTTGTGGGTCCAGTGCTACTTTTTTTTTGTGCTATACTGACCCATACTGCCAGGAGCTCGCAGCAGCGCAGAAAGCACAGCAGGCAGAATGGATTGGATGAGTTTCTGAGATTGATGGATTCAAGACGTGAACAAAGCGGTTGTATTCAGTGACAATCCTTTCGTGTCAAAACAAAGAATATACTGTATACTGGTATGTTTTCCCAGGTACTAGAGGAATCAGATTGACTATTGGATGTAGTTTGCATTTCTTCAAGTGCAGACGGAAACAAGGTGAAGAATCACTCCTTCGCCGCCTTTGTTTTTGCCAGGATCTCTTGAAGAAGAAGCGCCTACAGGAGATGAACGACATGGCCAGCACCATGCCTTCAGAAATTGATGTTTTTTTTTCACAGAGATTGGGGGCAGTTGGGGGATCTGGAAGTCCTTACAACCGCCATGAAAAATCAGAATAAATCAGACACCTACCCAAAATCAGACGCATCCAAGGCGTTCATTTCGACTTCGACGACGTACCTGTGCGAAAGGCGCCAAACAACTGCGTATGGATAGCCACAGGAAATCCCAGGAATAATTAGTAATATCATGTAATATCTGATAATATCTGTAATATCTGAGAAGTTCCGGCCTTGGGCCTCTAAGGGTCGCGGCATCGCTTGGAACCACGAGATTTGGATCGCTTAGAACCGCGCAATTTGGATCGCTTAGAACCGCCCTGGAATCATCATCATCATCATCATCATCATCATCATCATCATCACCATCACCATCACCATCACCATCACCACCACCACCAGCAGCAGCATCATCATCATCATCATCATCATCATTGGCTGGTAGATCCTACCCTTTTCTTCCCTAGCCCCACCCCACCCCCCAAGGTGGAAGTGTGATGGTAAGTCGAAGGAAGTGGAGTAGCGGTTTTGTCCCTATAATGAAGTTAAGCAACGGGTGTGGCTGCTAGAGCCTAACCTTTTCTTCCCTAGCCCCACCCCGCCCCCCAAGGTTGAAGTATGATGGTAAGGCGAAGGAAGTGGAGTAGCGTTTGTGTCCCTATAATGAAGTTAAGCAACGGGTGTGGCTGCTAGAGCCTAACCTTTTCTTCCCTAGCCCCATCCCACCCCCCAAGGTTGAAGTGTGATGGTAAGGCGAAGGGAGTGGAGTAGCGGTTGTGTCCCTATAATTAAGTTAAGCAACGGGTGTGGCTGGTAGATCCTACCCTTTTCTTCCCTAGCCCCACCCCACCCCCCAAGGTGAAAGTGTGATGGTAAGTCGAAGGAAGTGGAGTAGCGGTTGTGTCCCTATAATGAAGTTAAGCAACGGGTGTGGCTGCTAGAGCCTAACCTTTTCTTCCCTAGCCCCACCCCGCCCCCCAAGGTTGAAGTGTGATGGTAAGGCGAAGGAAGTGGAGTAGCGGTTGTGTCCCTATAATGAAGTTAACATTTTAGCAGCCTCAACCATCAACATCTGGACGGGTGGTTCTGGTGATTCCAATTGGGTGGTTCTAAGTGAGTCTCCTGCCGCCTCGAAGCTTGGAGATAGTGGGAGACCACTTGAGAGTTCACCTGTTTAGAATTCATAGGTGGATCACAGCGTCTTGTGACACTATTCCATATCACACACCAGCAGACTGTGACTGCAAGGAGCTTCTAGCAGCTCAACACGCGCAGCAGGCACTACTTGTGGAGGAAGTATGATCTCTCAACTGAAGAATCATGGGTAGCCAGTGGGGAGACACACGATGTTCATCATTGCTTATCATTGTATATCATTGTTTTTTATTGTTTTTATTCTTTACATTGATATTATATGATATTATTACATATTATTATCATATAATATGTTTTCAGCTCATGATAGAGTCTGATAGAGTATACAGCATTTCTGTGGTACCCCAATGTGCGCAGCTGCAGATTCCGACGAAGGTCCCGGCGGTCCCAGCCACGATCCCAGCGAAGCCGGCGAAGATCCAGACGGCCACGGTCCCTGCGCGTACGGTGAAAGTGCCGAAGGTCGCAGAAGAAGCTGCGGGACATTGACACTTGGAGGGTAAATGAAGGTAAAACGAAGTAAGACATGGTAAGGATGTTGTTGAACAGTGGTTCCAATCAGCTTGACTAACCATAGTGGAGAAATGCTTGGGACTCGTGAAGCCAGTGGCAAGGACAGGACAAGGCCCTGGTGTATGATACCTTCCCAACTACACATCAGTAAAGTGCCAAACTTAAGCCATAGTTTGTGCAGGCAGTGCAGGCAATGCCCAGGTGGCCTACTTCGCTTGAGGACGCCTGGGAGCTGAATGCTGCTGTGTTCGCCCCCCCTTGCCACAACGCCGCCCTCAGAGTTTTTACATGCTCGGATGAAATCGCCCCCAGAAGTATTTCGGGGAGCACGCTTCAGAATAAATGATACCCCCAATTTGTACATGTAATACATGTATTACATTGTATTACACGTTACAGTACAAGATAGTATAGCTGAATAATTATACACCATGAACATAACATGAAGACTGCGCTGTCCGTGGTGTACTTTAGCCCACCAGTGGTAGTTGTCAGGACCTTTTGGGCCATCGGATTCCTCCATTGCGAAGTCAAGCTATTGGGCCACAGGAGTCCCAGGAGCCAAGTCAACAGATTTGACATGTCGGATGTCGGTGACTCTGACCTATCATAAGTATCACAGTATCAGTATGATTATATATGATACATGATACTGTAGTCACATATATATATATATATAGTTATATATATATACAGTAGCCACAAAGGGGGGAACATTTGTCATTTTACCGTATTTTACTATAATTTATCTTATTTATTATACTCTTCCTGTGCCAATTGTGGTTCCATAGCCAGGAGGAAGAGCTGCAGATGGAAGACCAGCGCCTTCGCGAAGAGGACAGTCGCCTGAGGCCATGTGTGAAGTGGGCCTGTTGGGCTACCGATTTCTTTGGGAACGGATCAAAATCTACTTGTATTATGGGAGGGTATGAACATCCATTTACCAACTATGTCGATGTTCACTTGATCCATACCCCATTTATCAAGGCTTTCTCTAATGTGAGATTTGAATCTAGGAGAGTCATTTTTGTCCAAACAGAGCGTCGCATTGTGCTGGATGTCCTGGAAATGGCTAGTGAGATGATATCAGAAATTCTCAATTTATATAGTTCGCGCAAAGCAACATGCAATGTATGAATTCTTTGGTGATCTTTGGTTTTTTTCGGGCAAGCTGTGAACACACATCGCATGAACACACGTTGCAAGGCAAGAGAACGAACGCTTGCAGCATGCCCTGCTAGAATTGTGTGGATGCCCAGAGAGACAGTGCTGGATCCATTTGGAACGAAAAAGCATTGTTTCCGAACCATGTCCGGATGGTTTGTTGTCAAAGAAGCCTTTTCTTGGCAGTTTCGTGGTGGAGTTGGGACCAGTCTCGCAGACCATCCAAGATCTGTATTTCCAGAGTTATCGTCAGGCTGCATGCAACACACAATCGATAGGTGTAAACAATTTGTGACTTGTCAAATGCGTTTCTCCATTGGCAGGCAGTAACTTGTCATGTCCGACTTTTCAAGCGGGGACTGCCATAAATGTGCATGGCACATGCTTGAATTACATGAATCGATGCAGAATATACCTACCACCCACGGCTGTTATCCCAAGCAGCATAGTATCAACTGCAGGCAATCGTAGTATCAGCCCGGTAACATTTCCGACTTGTAACATAGCCTCTGAAGCCATCCAGGTTTGGTTCTGATATCATGCTAAAGGTCTCCTAAGGTCCAGCCCTACATTCAACTGTGAAGATTCGGTGAGCTGCCAGATCGGCCAGGAGCAGTGCTACCAATCGCAGCGGAACCGTGGCAGAAGATATGGCAACAGTCCTGACCTCCCTTTTGGAAGAGGCATGACATTTTCATACATTTTCTACTGAAGCAGACGGGTATCGCTCAAAATAGAGTACCAATGGACCCACACAATTGGTGATTTTTAGCACTGAAACAGCCTGAAACAGCCATTCTTGGGGATCAACAATTTTGGACTAGTGCCCTGTATTTCAAGTGTCTCATGACGTTTCCTGCGGCGATCTGGCAGCCGACGAAACCTCCAAAGCATGCAAAGCTGCCCCATGCTGGCAACAAGACCTATATGGGAGCGGCTTGGCAATGGTGAGTGATGGTGAGTGCATTCCGATCATGTGTTCTGTGTTGCAGCACAGCGTGCCTGAATGATAAGTCGTAATCATCGTAATTGTTTTCCTCTGTGTTTTGGAAGAACTGCGCAATTCGCTTGTCCATAAAGGTTTGGAGTCCAGGAGGTACTCCTTGTGGGATGCAGACTTGAAGCGTGAATGCTGTAGTAGAAGGTGTAGCTGCCGTGATATGAAGCGGACTTCTCATTGGTCTCCTAGTCTCTATTGGCACTTGCTCCTTATTTGTAGATTCTACTTGCGTGTATTCTTGGATCATCATGCAAAGGACAGACAGTCTTTGCAGTCAAAGGACCGTTGACTCATGGACATGGTCACAGTCGCTCTTGGTTCATCTGGGTGTGATTAAAAGTGCTTGGTACACAATGCAAAGAACTTTAGCATAAGCAGATATAAGCAGCAAATCCTCCTGGTACCACATCGCCATCTAAGACGGGCTCCCATGAAATGGATCCAAAGAAGCGGGTCATGACCGTGAGCCTCATCATTTGTCACTTGACCGAAGTAGACTCCTGAGAGCTTCAAGAATTTAGATGTCGTGAGTGTGTTTGGATGAAGTAACTCGGGAACCAGGCCTTTCATTCATGGTGGATGTTCCAACTGATTCGGGTATAGATTGTCCATGCATGAAAGCTAACTCCCTGCTGGGTGTGGCATTTGAGATCTGGCGCAAATCGGCTGTTGAGGTGGTTTCATTTGCTTCATCGTCTACGTTGCCTACCATGCATATGTCTTTTTCAGAAACGTTCGAACAGATCCTCATGGAGATGGCGTGGTGGATACTGAGCAGAATCCCAGAAAGATGACTATAAGACATTCCAAGACCCTTCAATATCATTTCATAATATTTCATATCTTAATTGATCTTCACCTACACATACCTACACTGAAGATCAATAAGCATTAAGACCGACTACATAGACCTGTTTTTGCCGCTTGTGACAAGCAAAATCTCATTCCATGCAGCTTGTGGGGCCGAAAATCATCGAAAATCCATCACAGTCACCACATCAGGGTTTTGTAGTTCCCCAAAAAAATAAGGTGACCCGCGGCATGATTCCAATGCTTCCCTCATTGATCATGCTGTTGATGGCTGCAAACATAAGAACCTGATCAGCATCACAGGCCAGAGTTGTGACTCAAGAATTTTGCTGTATCTTTCAGTCAGGTACACAAAGATCAAGGTCTTCCCGCCACATACTCGATAATGAAATATAGTAGGTTGCCACCCTTGCTGCTGGAACCCTCATCATCCTCAGCCTGAGGACTATGAGGATGTCAGGGAGTTTCATGGTTGCACCTTGGGGTTTGTTTCTCCCAGCATTCAAAAAGAGTTGACAACAAAAAGAACAATTTCTAGGGCCAATGATGGCATATCGCTGTGGAATTCTCTTCGCATTTATTTCATCAGCATTTATTTCTCCTGGTCCTTTGTCCCATCAGATCAAAAAACAGGTTGGATAGGACGCCCTCCCGTGCACAGCTGCCCTTGACAGCACAGGTTCTTTGCCGAGCTCATTTGTTGCGGTTTGAGCTACTCTTCGGCTGTCAATATGTCCTTCGTCCTGGCCTCAACGTGTTACCATGTGAGTAACCGACAAAATTATTGTAATACTAATTTAGTTTTGCTTCGCCTTGGCCTTTCCGAGGTTGCACAAAACCTTCACAACCGATAGGGGACGACCCTATACCGATACCCCATTTGTGATACCTCCGGGAATGCTGAAATCCTCACAACGGATAGGGGACGACCCTAATTTGTGCATGGCATTAAATTTAACATATAAATTTGTCCGCTACTCATGTCTTACTACAACGCATCCACTGTCAAGTACTCTCGCGCGCAGCTGCAGTGAGGTCTTTGTGATCGCAGGTGCAGGCTTCGGCTTCCTGTGGTGGCAAGGGATCATTCAGCCCTTCTTGAAGGAGCTCGCTTGCTATGTCACCTGGCAACACTATGTAGGGCAGGGGCAAGGAGGACTTGCGTGCAGGTTAAGGGCAATTGCCCAGACGGCCACGTCGTCCCTGGTGACCGCACCAAGGTTTACCTTGGATTGATTGTCTCACTCTTGGTGGGTGTGATCTTTGCAGAGCTCTGGTCGAAGTTTTTTGCACCTTGTCTGCATTTCGAGGCGTTTCGAGGTCTGTGAACTGGTGAGTCATTGATTCTTGACATGCCTTGACAGAAACCGGCTTGAATTTGTTTGGAGCCATGATGTCTCCAGATGTCTCTGGGGTGTGAGGACGTATTTAGCGCTCAAATGCAAGCGATGGAAAAGATCATGGGCTTCTTGAGGATTGACAAAGCTCAGGCCTGGAAAAAGACGGAAACACAGATATATTCCATTTATATCGACATATTTCCATTTTGTCTTTGCTTCTGGTCCAAGGCACAAGGCTGAAAGTGTACTTCACACTCTGAACACAATGATAAACTTTTGTGTAGTTAAATTATCGCGTGAGCCAGCAGCAGTTTTTTTGTTACATGTAGCATCATGTAGCAATATTGCTATGGACTTGTGGAACATGTGCCATAGACCGTTTTTGTGTATTTTCCTCGCCAAGTCTTTTCGACCATGTCACACCTGTCCTCCAGAGGACTTTGCCAAAGAAATCTTCCACGATGCCCAAGAGCCTTGGCAGGAACACGATGGGGGTACAGGCAATAGACCAGAATGGTGGATGGTGACAGCATGGAGAAGATGCGGGATGTTTGTTTTTCTCTTTGAATGAAGGGATGGTGGACATACTGTAGGACTTTCAGCGGACAGAAATCTGAACTCATCAGCGTTCTGGAAATAGTCAGCCTGACAGCTGAGGATGGTGCTCGGAGGATGGTGCAATAAGAGCCCCATTTGGACACAAAATTGGACGCCCATTCTGTCAGAAAAAAGGGGCGAGTGTTGTGACAGTCGTGTTACTTCTGGCAGTTCATGGACTCCGATCTTTCAGAAATTCTATGAAATTCTGATCTCATTATTTGATGGCAAGAAACGTCTCAAAGTATTCAAAGTCCTGCAACCCGGGATGGAAGGTAGCTGCCAACTTGGCTCGTCTGAGGTTGGAGGAGTTGGCCTGTCATTTGGAACATCGTTACAGGCCGACCTTGTGCCGGCACTGTGACGACACAAGGTGAATGAGGTGAATGTATTAAATTCATTTGAAACATGTATATAATATATAATATATTAATATTTATATCATCATATATCTGGAATTCTACATGATAGAGGTATGGGAATGCATGGGGTATCTACGGATGCAAGCACATCTTCAATTGCAGCCATCGGTGAGACTGCGTGTGAGGATTCAAAGCGCCATGGCCTTCGAAAATCAGTACAATGTTTACAGACTTTGGAGAAATTTGGCAAGAACTTAGTGGCCGCTCTGGGCGGGGCATGGATAATGTGTTCGTATGGAAGGAGTTGCCCCAAAAAGCCGATGTCCATCTTTCCTTTCGAAATCACCCTTATAGATGATATAGATGGCCATGTCACCTTGAAACGTGTCCTGTTGGGAGGCAAACACATCGTCACCTCATATTTGTGTTCTGTTTCAGAGATGTTTGTTTCCTGTGCTATGCAATATTGCTTCTGGCACAATTCTTTCAGAACTTTCAGTTTCAAGGGTCAAATTCAAAAGTGACGGAGAACGCTTATTCTTTCTGATGAGCAAAAACATCAAAAACACTCTTCTCCGGTGCAGGGAAACCTCCAGGGTCCTAAATTCCTCCCGAGACTTGCCGGCGGAGCCCTGCCCTCTTGCGCCGAGGAAATTTTCCTGCCGGCGCGTTTGAAGGTTCACCGCGCAGCAGATGCGCAATGTGGGAAGCTTTTGAATGTTCAGTCGATGGCGGGATTTCCGGTTGCTGTGAATTGTATAGGGTCCGCCTTTACTGCATGGATTTCAAGTTTGCAGATCTGACAGGAGAAGAACCATCGTTTGAACTGGAACTTCAAGGTGCTTGGGAACACACTGCCTACTGTAAATCTTCATCCTGGCACTTAATGTCGGATCCTGATTAGTGTAGGGCCCCCCCAAACAATTCTGAGACTCTCTTTAATGTGATTTTTTTTAGGGATCGGGGTCTGAATAAAATTTTATCAATTGATTTTGATGGATTTCAATTTACTTTCAATTTACTTTCAATTGATTTTCAATTTATTTTTCAACTGGTTTCAATTTATTTTCAATTGATTTCAATTTACTTTCAATTGATTTTCGGTTGATTTCAATTGATTTTCAATTGATTTCAATTTACTTTCAGTTGATTTCAATTTACTTTCAATTGATTTCAATTTACTTTCAATTGAAATCCCATAGTACTCCCATAGAAATATCATGGAAATCCCATAGGAATCCCACAGCAACCCCATAGAAAGATAATAGAAATAACATGGACATAGCATAGGAACCACAAAGAAATCCCGTAAGAATCGCATTCCCTTAGAAAAATCCCAGAGTAATCCCATAGAAATATCATAGAAATCTAATAGAAACATCATGGAAATCCCATAGGAATCCCAGAGAAATCCCATAGAACACATGGCCAAGCGCCAAAAACCTATGCTTCACCACTGTCTGTTGACTTTGGCCTCCTGCAAATGGTCTTCTATGTGCTAGGCGAAGGAAGTTTAGAAGTCAAACTTCCGACAATATGGACTGATGAAAAGCAGAGATGGGAAGACTGAGAGAAGAGAAGAGAAGAAGAAAGAAGATCAAAGAAGAAGAAAGAAAATCCAGGTGAGCGAAAAGGTAGAAAAGTCGCGAAACACTGTTTTTCCAATGATTTGTGGCTCCGGAGGGTCGAAAAGTAGGATCGCTACAGCGGCGGGTGCAGAGCCATCTGGCCAGATGAGAGATGAAAAGTTGCACGCCGTTGTGGCGCGAAGCACGTTTCCAAGTCAAAATGCACAAAAAAAACAATGTTCGGATCACTTTTGGTAGCTGAGATGTCGAAAGCACATTTCGAAGTCAAAATGTACAAAGCACACCATGTTCGGACCACTTTTGGTAGTTGAGGTGTCGAAAAGGGCACGCCGTTGTGGCGCGAAGATGCGCGAAGCACATTTGCAAGTCAAAATGTACAAAACACACCATTCTCAGACCACTTTTGTATTGATGTCGAAAAAGTGCACACCGTTGTGGCGCGAAGCACCTTTGCAAGTCAAAAGTGGAAAAAATGAGAGGTACGGAGAACTTGTGGACGTTCAGATGTCGTTTTGCGTGGCAGGCGCAGGGGCTTGTGCACCTGGTCAAAAGTGAGCAAAATGTGGGGATTTGTAGCAGTTTCAACTACAATCACTACTACGCTACACTACACGACACGACACGACACTACACTCACTACACTCATTGCACTCCACTACATCTACAACTACAACTACAACTACAACTACAACTATCACTACGTTACGTTACACTACACTACACCACACCACCCTACGCTACACTACACTAATTACATTACACTACGCTACACCACACTCCACTACACTACACTAGACTACACTACGCTACACTCAGTTACACTACACTACACTACGCTACACCACACTACACTACACTAGCTACAACTACAACTACAACTACAACTACAACTACAACTACGACTACACTACATTTCAGTACACTACACTAATTACACTACACTACGCTCCTCTTCACTTCACTGCACTACACTTCACTCAATTACACTGCGCTACACTACAACTACAAGTACAGCTACACTACATTATATACACTACACTACACTAATTACATTACACTACGCTAATTACATTACACTACATTACACTACACTGCGCTACAGTACCTACAACTACAACTACAACTACAACTACCATTACATTACACTAAGCTACGCTAATTACATTACACTACACTACACTCCACTACACTACACCCCACTACTCTACACTACGCTACACTACCCTACACTACACTGAATCACACTACACTACAACTACAACTACAACTACAACTACGCTACATAACACCACACTGCACTGCACCACACTACACTGCACTGCACTACATTACACTACACTAATTACATTACAGTGCACGACACCACACCACACCACACCACACTACACTACACTAACTACAGCTACAGCTACAACTGCAGCTACGCTACTTTACGCTACACTACACTACACTAGACTACACTACCCTACATTACATTCCACTACACTCATTACACCACCACATATGCAACTGCAACTACACTACACTAATTACACCACACCCCAACTACAACTACAGCTGCGCTACACCACACTACATCCAGCAGTTGTGGGTGAGGTCCACTGCAACCATTGTATCCACCATCAGTGGATTCGCTCTGCCATCCGTGTTTCACAGCAACCAAGCTCTCCTATAGGTAGTCTGTTTTTGAAACTTCCGCCACCGCCTTGTGCGTTACTAACTGGTAGAAATACCATAGACATCCTTTTGTAATCCCAGAGAAATTCGAAAGAACCAGCATTGAAATCCCATAGAACTCCCATAGGGATCCAATAGAAATCCCGTAGTAATCCCATAGAAATATCATAGAAATCCACAAAAAATATCATGGAAATCCAAAAGAAATCCAATGGACATATCATAGAAATCCCATAGAAATCCAATGAAAATCCCATAGACATCCCTTTGAAACCCTATAGGAATCCCATACAAATACCATCGACATCCCTTTAGAAACCCCAATAGTAATCCCATAGAAATATCATAGAAAAATTTTTGGAAACCCCACAGGAATCCAATAGAAATCCCATAGACATATCATAGAACCACCATAGAAATTCCAAAGAACCCCATGGAAACCCCATAGAATTCCCAAAGAATTCCTGTGGAAATACCATAGAAATACCGTAGAATTCCTTTTTAAACCCCATAGAAATCCAATAAAAATATCATGGAAATCCCAAAGAAATCTCATAGAAATATCATAGAAATACCATAGAAGTCTGATAGAAATCCAACGGAAATCCCATAGACATTCTTTTGAAACCCCATAGGAATCCCATAGAAATACCATCGACATCCCTTTAGAAATCCCATAGTAATCCCATGGAAATACAATGGAAACCCCACAGGAACCCAATAGAAATCCCATAGAAATATCATGGAACCACCATAGAAATTCCAAAGAAACCTCATGGAAATCCCATAAAATTCCCAAAGAATTCCTATAGAAATATCATAGAAATACCATAGAAATCCTTTTTAAACCCCGTAGTAATCTCATAAATATATCATAGGAATCCAATAGAAATATCATAGAAATCCCACAGAAATCCCATAGAAATATCATAGAAATACCATAGACATCCTTTTGAAACCCCATAGGAATCCCATAGAAATACCATAGACACCCCTTTAGAAACACCATAGAATATCATAGAATTCCCATAGAAACTTTAAAGAAATCCCATGGAAACACCATAGAAATCAAGGAGAGGATGCCAGGAGAATTGAACCGTGTAAAAGACAAAAGCTATAGCAAAGGAAAGGAGAAAAGGATTTTGGAAAAAATCACGTCAAAAAAAACTGGACACACTAGAGGACCACCACAACAAACATACTGTTCAAGATCAATGCTGCTCATGGGCTACCTCCTTGAAAAATTGTTCGAGTGCTGTTTTTTAATGGGGTTTTCTTAAGACATCCTATATTTTGGGAAATTGGACATTTCTGAGAATCCCAGAAGAAGGGAGCTAAGAAAGCAAAAGGGAAACATAATTATTAGCACAGGAAAGGAAAAGGAAACGAGAGAAAAAAACTGGACACAATAGAGGACTCCCACAACAAACATGCTATTGAAGATCAGGGTTGCTCATGGACTACCCCCTTGATTTTTTCCTTTTTTTTTAAATGGGTTTTGAATAAGGCATCCTATAATAATTTTTTGTATGTTCAAAAACATGTTGCAAGTATTCAACTTAATTAAATATTTTTGATAAAATGACAAAATCCAAAAGTGAAAAAAACATACAAAACATGCTGAAAAAAAACATGGCCTCAGAAAAAACTTGACATAATACCGACCCACCCCAACGATTACACTGATTCAGAATTATTTTGGGAAAACTTAACACAATACAGAACCCCCCCCCCAATCGGAATAATTACTACATTACAGCAATAGTGGGGCAGCACATGCCTAGCAGTGAGGAGAAAGATCTGTTGATGGCTGAAATGTAAGGGATGTTGATTCAGACTATGGTCGGTAGGTGAGGTGCGTGAGGTGTTCCTTCATGATGTCTGAACTGCCAGAACCGTCCAGTGGTGCTGCAAGCGCCGGGAACCAAGAGAAAACTATATAGACAAGAGATGACAAGAGGAAACTTGACAAGGCCTTGAACCTGGCAGGAGTCTATACATTACAGCTTGCAACGACTACAGATCACTCACTCGAACACATCAACAGTGCGGCAGTAGTTTCACTCAACAACGCAGGCAAAGTCACCCAAATGCGGTCAAATGGGTACATCTCAAAATCATGAACCTCTTACTAGATGGTTTATTGATGTTCAATGTCTAAATTCTGAGGGAAGCCTTTGGAAGATCGTCGCATCGTCCGGTTTTAAGGCCCACCCCTCCTGCCGTGACACGTGCTCCCGGCGCCACGCGCAAGCTGGATGCGGACCGGCCTATGCGCTCAGTATGCTCATTGGATTTATTGGATAAGTCTGGGACATAGTAGTTATACTGTAGCATGTTATAGCTATAGAACTGCTTTTCCTTGTAGCCAGCCTAATTAGTCTGGCTTTTCCTAAAGTCGCTGAAAAACTCGATTGAAACAAGTATCAAAAAGTGCCTCTTCAAGCAGCAATGCACAAGATGTTCCCCTTTCCAGCTGCTGTAAGGCCGCCTTCACCACCAAATTTGCCGGGAGTCTCAGATTGAGTGATTTGAGTGCGAGGTTTGCAGACTGAACTGACTAAAGCATGGAACCAAACCAGCAGATTCAACGACAGTAAAGCTGTAATGATGACCCCAATATTGTTATCATGGTGACAGAATCAGAGGTTGCATGATAATGCTTGACCTTGCGGCAGCTATATTATATAGCCAGTCAGCAAATAAGTTGGTCTGTCGTTCAGTCACTCACTCAGTTAGCCATACAGTCACACTAAACATATCTATTTTTAAACACCCCTTCAAAACACACAACGTTGCTTGTTTCTGCTGGCAAAGCTGCCATGTACTCGTAGTGTTCATGATGACACAATGAGTGGTTCAACCTATCAGTGTGTCCTAGGGCCAGAGTCCCAGGTGCTTCAAGCGACCTAACATCATCACTGATACATCATCATCCATGTAGCTGTGCAGGCGTGATGCTGCCTACAAGGTCTTGGCATATCGAAAGGAACAAGGCGCACTTCATGGGCAGATGGAAGGTTGTTTGGTGGTTTCAAACAAATACATCTATCATCTATCATTAACATTAACTGTTCAATATATTGCCTATATGGATCTACATATATGTTGAACCCCACTGTGTAGAGATAACTGACTGATGTATTGATTGGGAGGTTGAAACCGCCAAGCAGGAGGGCAAAAATGGCTGATCATGGCGGTTTTCTCTTTATCTTGCCAATGTTGCAGGGAGCACCTGCTTCGTCCCTGTTTTTGGGGTATATAATTTTAGTTGCTACAGCCAGCAACCCAACGGCAGATATCAGAATTAAAACCCCACCAAAATTCCACCTCCCTAAATTCATCGACCACATACCACCGTCAGGAAACCAGCCTGAAGAGCTGCAGACTCTTCCGGCAGAGTTGGGGTGCCCAGTGCTCATAGGATTTCAACGGGATTTAACAGGATGAAAAACAATGAACACCACGTGGTCTTTTCAAGGTAGTTGTTTGGGATGATGCAGAAGTCTTGGGATGGTGACAAATAATTGGCCGAGAAGCCAACGAGGCCGTGTTTGGCGGCATTGGTGCAGCTGGTCCGGCACTCAACGTTTGAATGTGGATACAAAGACATGAGAGTTTCTCATGAAAACATTTTGGTCAAAGAGATTTCTACAGATACATTAGCTTGTGGCTTGGCTTGTTGGGGACTTGGAGGACAGAATAGTGTTTTTTCCCGAGAGCGTCTGAGCGCAGGGTTCTTCCAATAGTGGGGGTCTGTATCTCATCTTCTCATCTTCACACCTTCTCATCTTCACATCTTCTCTCACACCTTCTCATCTTCACATCTTCTCTCACACCTTCTCATCTTCACATCTTCTCTCCCACCTTCTCATCTTCACATCTTCTCTCCCACCTTCTCATCTTCACATCTTCTCTCACACCTTCTCATCTTCACATCTTCTCTCACCTTCTCATCTTCACATCTTCTCTCACACCTTCTCATCTTCACATCTTCTCTCACACCTTCTCATCTTCACATCTTCTCTCACACCTTCTCATCTTCACACCTTCTCATCTTCACATCTTCTCTCACACCCTCTCATCTTCACATCTTCTCTCACACCTTCTCATCTTCACATCTTCTCTCACACCTTCTCATCTTCACATCTTCTCTCACACCTTCTCATCTTCACATCTTCCTACCTTCTCATCTTCACATCTTCTCTCACACCTTCTCATCTTCACATCTTCTCTCACACCTTCTCATCTTCACATCTTCTCTCACACCCTTCTCATCTTCACACCTTCTCTCACACCTTCTCATCTTCACATCTTCTCTCTCTCTCATTCTCTCTCCTTTCTCTCTCTCCTTTCTCTCTCTCCTTTCTCTCTCCTTTTTCTCTCTCTCGCCTTCTTTATCTTTCTCTCTTTAGGCCGAGGGTGGTACCGGCGGTGAGTCACGAAACGTCAACCCTTTCGCACGAAATGAGGGTCGATCGTCAAAAACTGAGGAAAAATTGCGATTTGACTTGCCCTGGAGCAACCCTTTCACACGAAATGAGGGTCGATCGGCAAAAACTGAAGTAAAATTGCGATTTTACTTGTCCCGGAGCAACCCTTTCGCACGAAATGAGGGTCGATCGCTAAAAACTGAGGAAAAATTGCGATTTTACTTGCCCCCGAGCAACCCTTTCGCACGAAATGAGGGTCGATCGTCAAAAACTGAGGAAAATTGCGATTTTACTTGCCCCCGAGCAACCCTTTCGCACGAAATGAGGGTCGATCGTCAAAAACTGAAAAAAAATTGCGATTTTACTTGTCCCGGAGCAACCCTTTCGCACGAAATGAGGGTCGATCGTCAAAAACTGAAGAAAAATTGCGATTTTACTTGTGCCGGAGCAACCCTTTCGCACGAAATGAGGGTCGATCGTCAAAAACTGAGGAAAAATTGCGATTTTACTTGCCCCCGAGCAACCCTTTCGCACGAAATGAGGGTCGATCGGCAAAAACTGAGGAAAAATTGCGATTTTACTTGTGCCGGAGCAACCCTTTCGCACGAAATGAGGGTCGATCGGCAAAAGTGTAAAAGCGTCTGTGTGTAAAAGCGTCTGTGTGTCAAAGCGTCTGTGTGTAAAAGCGTCTGTGTGTAAAAAAGCGTCTGTGTGTAAAAGCGTCTGTGTGTAAAAGCGTCTGTGTGTAAAAGTGTTTGTGTGTAAAAGTGTTGTGTGTAAAAGCCTCTGTGTGTAAAAGCGTCTGTGTGTCAAAGCGTCTGTGTGTAAAAGCGTCTGTGTGTAAAAGACTGTGTGACTGTGTGCAAAAGCGTCTGTGTGTAAAAGCGTCTGTGTGTCAAAGCGTCTGTGTGTAAAAGCGTCTGTGTGTAAAAGCGTGTTGTGTGTAAAAGTGTTGTGTGTAAAAGGCTCTGTGTGTAAAAGCCTCTGTGTGTAAAAGCGTCTGTGTGTAAAAGCGTCTGTGTGTAAAAGCGTCTGTGTGTAAAGCGTCTGTGTGTAAAAGCCTCTGTGTGTAAAAGTGTTCTGTGTGTAAAAGCGTCTGTGTGTAAAAGCGTCTGTGTGTAAAAGCGTCTGTGTGTAAAAGCTGTGTGTTCTGTGTGTAAAAGCGTCTGTGTGTAAAAGCGTCTGTGTGTAAAAGTCTCTGCGGGTAAAAGCCTCTGTGTGTAAAAGTCTCTGTGTGTGAAAAGCTGTGTGTAAAAAGCGTCTGTGTGTAAAAGCGTCTGTGTGTAAAAGCGTCTGTGTGTAAAAGCGTCTGTGTGTAAAAGGCTCTGTGTGTAAAAGCGTCTGTGTGTGTAAAAGTCGTCTGTGTGTAAAAGCGTCTGTGTGTAAAAGCGTCTGTGTGTACAAGCGTCTGTGTGTAAAAGCGTTTGTGTGTAAAAGTGTCTGTGTGTAAAAGCGTCTGTGTGTAAAAGCGTCTGTGTGTAAAAGCGTCTGTGTGTAAAAGCTTCTGTGTGTAAAAGGCTCTGTGTGTAAAAGCGTCTGTGTGTAAAAGCGTCTGTGTGTAAAAGAGCCTATGTGTAAAAAGCGTTTGTGTGTAAAAGCCTCTGTGTGTAAAAGCGTCTGTGTGTAAAAGCGTCTGTGTGTAAAAGCTTCTGTGTGTAAAAGCTTCTGTGTGTAAAAGCGTCTGTGTGTAAAAGCGTCGGTGTGTAAAAGTGTTTGTGTAAAAGTGTTTGTGTGCAAAATCGTCTGTGTGTAAAAGTCTCTGTGTGTAAAAGTCTCTGTGTGTAAAAGTCTCTGTGTGCAAAAGCGTCTGTGTGTAAAAGCGTCTGTGTGTAAAAGGCTCTGTGTGTAAAAGCGTCTGTGTGTAAAAGTGTCTGTGTGTAAAAGAGCCTATGTGTAACAAGCGTCTGTGTGTAAAAGCGTCTGTGTGTACAAGCGTCTGTGTGTAAAAGCTTCTGTGTGTAAAAGCTTCTGTGGGTAAAAGCGTCTGTGTGTGTAAAAGTCTCTGTGTGTAAAAGTGTTTGTGTGTAAAAGTGTTTGTGTGCAAAATCGTCTGTGTGTAAAAGCGTCTGTGTGTAAAAGTCTCTGTGTGTAAAAGTCTCTGTGTGTAAAAGTCTCAGTGTGCAAAAGCGTCT